CAAGCTAAGTCCCCGGTTTATTGGTCCCTATGAGATTCTCGAGAGGATTGGGAACCTGGCCTATCGTCTGGCTCTGCCAATGGAGTTGGAGAGGGTACATAATGTTTTCCATGTGTCCCAGTTGAAGAAATATGTGCACGATCCATCGCATGTGATTCCACCGGAAGTTGTACCGCTTGATGGTACCATGTCATACAAAGAAAGATCGCTTCGGATCTTGGATTTCAAAACCAGGGAGACTCGCAGGAAGTCGGTGAAGATGGTAAAGGTGTGGTGGTCGCATCATGGTGTAGAAGAAGCAACCTGGGAGTTGGAGTCGGCTATGAGAGAGTGTTACCCGAAGTTGTTCACCTCAGGTACTTTGTGCTACCTTCCTTGTTGAGTAGTTGTGGGGCTGGGAGTAGTATAGTTGTGGTGTTAGTGTTTGTGTTGCTTGAGAAAATTTCTTTTGTGACCTTATGAAACCTTGCGTTTTCTTGATTCTTGAAAATTTTACACCTTTTGGATCCTTGAAGTCTTGTTTGATGGTATTCTTATTCCTTTTTTTGTCACATTGTGATTCGTTGTTATCCGTTTGTTTGAACTTGTCGTGCCCAAGCTTCGGGGACGAAGCTTCTTGTTAGGGGGAGAGGATGTGACACCCCGTAAATCCAAACTCTAATCAAGGATTAATTAGAGAATTAATCCTAGTCTCTTTGTTAATTTATTCATAAAAATCCTGAAATTCAATAGTCGAGGGACTAGATTTTGACTAGTCACTTAAGTCAAGGGGTTGTACCTTGTGCTTCTTGAGTTATGCCCTTGTTTACTTGTCTTTCCAACAATAGTAAGGGTAGGGATGTCTTTCTACCTAAGGTTTGTGGTTCAAGCTAACCTAGCAACACTCTTTCATTTCATTCACCCTACAATCTAAACACAAAAATCTCTAGCCTCCCTCTAAAAAGGTGTAGCTTCTTCTCCAAGCTAGGATTTGAGCATCCAAGTCTTGCAAGTTTGGCTTCCAAGATTCCTACTTTCTTCATCTTGAGCATAGGGGAGGGTAAGATCATTGGTCTTTTGGTGTTTTTAACCTCCTTTTAGGTGTCTTTTTCTAAAGATAGAATCTTTGCTGTCTTTTGGTTTGTGTATGAAGTTGGTGTGGAAGAGGAGCTTTAGGAAAGACTTTCTAAGGGTGAAAAGAGGAAGTTATTAGGCTACAAAGGTAACCCATGCTTTACAAAACCTATTTTCTTACTTATATGATGATTTCTTGGCTTCTACTTGTGATTCTTTTGTTGATTTGTGAGATTTGATGCATTGTCTTGTGGTGATGCATGTTTAGAGCTTGTTCTTAGGGTTCTTGAATGCCATTGCTTGGCTATTTCTTGGGTTCAAGTCATATTGTTGTTTTGTGTGAGATTTTGGGTGGCTTGGACTTGTTGTTGAAAATCCCCGAAGGGAATTGTTGGTGTACAGGAGTGTACCCGCGGGCGGAACGGCGGGCAGAGGCCTACCCGCCGCCCCACTCGTGGGGAACCGGTGGCTCGTGGGTTATGTACCTGCGGGTGGAGGTCCACCCATGGCCCCACCCGCGTGGAACGTTGTTGGATGATGGCGGGGATTTGTTCCCCGTGATTCTTTTGACTCGGTATTGATGTTTTGACCTCCCGATGTTGTTTTATTGGGCTATTTGTGAGTCTTCTTGATGTTTTGTATGTCTAGAACGGTATGTTAGGAATCCATGTAGGATTTGGTGTCTTGAATCGTGCTAACTGCTAAGGGTCCAACCTTGTGATTCGTTGGGCTAATTGTGAGTCTTGAATGTTCTTTGGAACTACTTTTGGTTTGCCCGTTTGATAAACATGCTAGTTTGATGTTGAAATGCTAGTATGTGTGGTTTGTTCCTTCGTATTGAGATTGCCAACTTGTGTTGACAATTATTTGGTGTTGGATTGGAATCCTTTGTTGTTGAGTATGGTCTCATGTCTTTATTGTGATCTCTTGGTTGATTCCTATGATGTGAACGTATGTAATTCGTTGTACCCCTTTTGATTGATACTTGATTAAGGTTATTGTTGAGCCTTGATCTTCTTGGTAATGATGATGACCTTGTGTGACTATGATTGAGATTGGTGGTTTGTTACTTGAGCTTTGCTCACGAGATTGGCGATTTTGTGATGTGATATTTAATGGTACCCTCGTGTACTGAGAGATCGGTGGTGAATAGGAGTGTCGGCGGGGGGCGACGGCCCTCGGAGGCAAAAGGTTGGACTCAGAAGTACAGGGTGGCACTAGGAAGTAAAGGTTGGAACCGAAATAAGGTCGGGGGTAGCCATAAGGTTGGAACAGGGCATAAGGTTGGAACTATGATACTTGTGACATGTAGTTGTCACTGTGGCATGTAGTTGCCAATGTGTGAATGTGAACTCTTTGCTTATGAGCATGTCTTGATGTATTCTACTTTGTGATCAGTAGAATGCATCCTGAGTTGTTTATCTTTCATGTTTGATGTCTTGTCGTGTTGTGAGGATGGTAATTCCTCTTTCTTTTGAGAGTGTTTGATGAGTCTTTGAAGTTGACTTCTCTCTTGAGTTTTGAACTGATATATACTGTATTCCGTTTCAAAATGGTTTTGATACATACTTATCTATATATGCTATGTAACGCGTATTGATGGGTTACCAGTAATATTCGCTGACCGGGTGTTATCCCCATGTTATGTTTTCCTTGTTCTACAGGTTTTGAGTAGAGGTTTGAGAGCGCTAGACGTGGATCGATAGATAGCTTAGCTACCTTGTCTAGACGTTTTGTTTTGATGGCCTGTGAGCCTGTTTAGCGGTCTGTGTGCCTAGATACTTTATGACTTGTTTAAATTGATTAGTTTTTCCCGCCTGTGCACCTATGTCTGAGATAGGTGTGGCATAACATACCCTGATTTTATATAGCTTCCGTTGCATTATGTCTTGATGATTAGATGTTTGCTTTTGCATTTAAGTTTTAAAATTGTGGTAAAAGTCGGGGGTGTTACAAAAAGGCACTATGTATTTTCTTGAGAATAAGTTTAAAATTTGTACCGATTTGCATTATACCAATGCTAAATATGAGTTTTGAATTTCCTCAAGTTGGGAAAAAAATTGTGAAGTTGGAATAACTTTGAATGTTAAAGTTATACACGTGGAATTCACCTTGTTGGAGTTTATGCAGACAGATTATTCTCTAATAAATGCCAACTTGTATATATTCTTTGCATATGAGATTAATTTCTCTTAAGAATATTATGTGAAATTTGTGATTATGTTGGTCAACATGAAGTAGCATGGAAGCAACATTATCTCTTTGGCTTACGAGAAATAAACATTTGTACATATGATCTAAATCTTAGTTGAGAAAAGTATTTGTAATTGCCGCACTGTGAGGGTAATTAGCTCCTTATACTTTCACCAAAAGTTTCTCTGTGGTACTGAGAATAACGATAAAAGAGAATGTTTCATGTTAAGCATGAAAATCTCAAGGGATTATTTACGAGTAAACAAAGTACTCGTCAAAGTGTATGTAAGTTTGATCAAGAGGATCAACTTACTTGAAGGCTAATTATGATAATTAGTCGTTGAGTTATTGATGGAATTACTTATAACCCAAGAGGTTATGAATTCATGGTAGATCCCCACTTTTGAGGTCAAACGAAGCCATGGGAAGAGTCACAAAGTAATGCACTAGTTGGTCATTTCTATAATGAGTGTACTTGTGAAGTTGAACTACAGCTCTTAATGAATTCATAGCCTTATGAAACGGGTGGTCCTATTGAGACGGACCTAATTAATTCACCGCTTAACACTTGAGCATAAATTGCTCTTAATGATTTATACCCAATTTGGGTAGTCTATTTTGAGATGGACCTAACGAAATCACTGACTTGAGTGAAAAGGGTGTTAACCGCCTTTTATGAAAGATAATGGAGTATCCCAAGAAGTAGAGTTGTTAAGAAATATGTTCATCAACATGCAGTTGTGGGGTGTCCAACACCTTCACAACATATACATTGTGATTCACAAAATGTCGTTTGCGTTGCAAAGAATAGTGTCTATGATAGAAAGAGAAGACACATAAGGGTCAGACATCAATCTAAATGGCAGATGATGGCTAAAGATTAATCACAATGGAGTTTGTGAGGTCTGAGAGATCCTCTCACAAAAGGTCTAAACTGAAAAAACCATCCTTGAAATATCAAAGGAGATGGGGTTAAGACCAGTGAGGTAAAGAAGTCATAACAGATAACACTTTTGCGGTCACACTACTACAAAAAAGGACTTTAATGTTAATTTTTTTACCTCATTTAACGTCGGTTTTCGACCGACGTCTAGGTAGCAAACTCGTAAATAATGAGATACGACGTCGGTTGAAAAAACCGACGTCGTATAATTTTTAAATTTTTAATATTAACATACGACGTCGGTTATTAAGAAATAACCGACGTCGTAACTATTTCAAAATTATTTTTAATTAAGAAACGACGTCAGTTTTTAAACAAAATCGACGTCGTATATTTAAAAAACAAAATAAATTCGCATAAGACGACGGTTTTGTTAAAAAAACCGACGTCTTATGTTAACTTTAAAAATAAAAAAAATAAACGTCAGTTATTTATAAATAACCGACGTCGTTTATTTTTTAATTTTTTTTTTTTTACGATTTTCCACCCAATTAATCCTATACACCTTTTACAATTTACAACATATTTCTTAACCTGTCAAGCAATTTGATATTCAAAATCTCACAATGAATCAAAACTAATAAATCTTATAATTAATTCAAAAGCAACTCATACCATCAACTAAACAAGTTAAATTTATGATAATTCTACAATTGATAATAATAATATAATAATAATAATAATTTCAAACTTAAATTATCAACATCAACTAAACTTCAAGAATTGCTTTTACAATTCATCAAAAATATTACACCATACATCTCTAACTTCATCAATCTCTTGTTGAGTGTTAATTCTACACTACAATTGATAATAATAATAATTTCAAACTTAAATTATCAACATCAACTAAACTTCAAGAATTGCTCTAAACCATTCATCAATAAAATACTTACACTACATCTTTAACTTCATCAATCTCTTGTTGAGTGTAGGGCAAACATCCTTGTCTCTCTAAATGCTACAAAATTGAAAAAAAAAAAAAAAATTAAGTAATAAATAAACTAGTATTGAATTTCGCCATATAAGAGCTCCACATAAGAAGACAGAATCTTTTACAAGATAAAATACAATTAAGTTGGTATAGGCTTCACTATGAAGAAAGAACTTTGAAAATAGCTTATAGACTAACATTTCAAAGCCTTGTGGATTGGTATACATTCCAGCCTTGTTTTGCAAAGCCTATGATTATGGATTGCAATTATATTTTATGATTATAGATATACATTTCAAACACCCTAGTACCTTCCTTGCTTAACACAAGACTAAAATTTGAACACAAATACGGAGTATAAGTTAATGTGGCTCAGTTCCCTTACAATTCCATGGCAATATGGCATTTACTTATTCCACATAGAAAAAGCAATACTATATAGTTTCCACATTCTAATACATTGAGTCCACATGGCACTCACTAATCTAAAAGGAACTCATAGGAGAATAGCTCAAATACACTCGGCTAAAGGACACTAAACATACAATACTGCATAACTGTATACAACTAAACACACATAAAAGACTGACAATATGCACTAAAGAAACTTCACTCATAACATGCACCAGCAACTCTCCCAAGCCTATGGTGAATGAGGTGGCTTGAAACTAAAGAGCTTGGACTAGTACACAAGGCTTGAACTTATGACTTAACGGCCGAGTAGGTGAGTACTGTCCACCGTTTTAGGTAATTAAGTGCAACCTTCTTAAGGTGTGCTGTCATTAAAATGTTTGACAGTTGACACATCTGAAAAGAATACAATTATACAGATTACAATGTTTACTGAGCAGTCACCAAAGTGATTAGGGCAATTTGCTAGTAATTGTTGACTAGTTCATTAAGAAGCAATCCATTAGTCATCAAGTTGTTATAGTTCTATTCATCATTCTAAATGAGGTTGCAGTAATTTTCAATACCTAGAAGACACAATGGCTTGTGGAACAGTTCTGCAGTAACTTACTCAAAGAATACATTCTATTTTAAATAGCAAGTTATTTAGTAGGGGTGGAGTTGCAGGGTGCAATTTAGTAAATTCTACACAAGTTAAAATTTATTTTAAATGCTTCCAAAATATGTTAAATAGGGTCTCTCATTCTTTGGGATCTTTAAGAAACAAACAGAAGACATTTCAAAGAGTAGAGAAGCAAACATAAGAGGCCAGGTTTGCTTCAAGAGTTTTTAGATATCCTTTTTTTTCAGCAATAATATTCATCCAGTCATTGTAGACCTCTTCATTGGATCGTTCCTTGTTTACACTAGAATGACTTGTCAAATGAAATAACAAGAGTAATTTGCATTACCACTCAAGAAAAGTATTTTACCTCTCATAGCAAAGAATAGCTTTGACATTCTCTTAGGTAAACCTCTCCATGGGACTGCAATAGCTTCCTGTGAAAAATAAACAAGCAATTGCCATATGAATAGAAAACCAACAACTCTGAAGAATCATACTTCCACCTAGTGGTACAATATAAAAGCAAAGGTTAAAGAAAAGAGTGTTAATTAAACCTTCAGAAAGTGATACCTCAAAACTTGGATAGTTCAGTTGGCAATCACTCATTTCTTCAGACTTTTTCTGTCAAAGGAGAAAATTGACAGCTTATAAAGAGGTTTAGGTGTTATCTAGAAATACCAATAATTAAAAATTAAAGTTAGCAACTAGGTCAAAGGGGATATAATAAAAAGAGATAAGCTCATTTCTAACCTTAGAATAGGTGTAGCTCTGCAAATCAATGAAAATCTCACCACAAGAATCTCTAACATCCACGGCGTTAAAAGCAATGCGCTTTGACAACTTTCGACACTTTGCATTTACAGATTTCTGTGGAGGAATTGCAGAAAGAATATGAAAATCATTTTTAAAAAGTGACAGAATTTCATATTCAATGGGTAAATGTAAATGTATAAAGAATACCTTAGTTGAAAGAGAGCAGTGGCTGATAACAACAGCGTCAAACTTATCAAAGAAATCAGCATCAGAGGTAAATTATAATTATTCAACTTCCTCATCTATATTTTAACTTTATCAATTATAATTATTCAACTTTCTCCATTTTCCTCACATGGCACCAAAAACCTACACTCCAGGCTGATTAATATCACGAGAAAAATCCATCCGCACAAAAATTCATATCAATCTCCTTGCCAATTGCAAACACCGGTAAATTAAAGCAAGCTCACGAAGGAAAATCAAAAGCACATTAATTCATAACATTCACAATAACACATAAAATTCAAAATATAAACAGAATAACATTCACAAATATAAAATTTCGAAATATATACAATAATAATTTAAAAAGTTTCAAAATATAACAACAAATTCGAAAAAAAATTATAAATTTCAAAAAATATATAAGAAAAATTCGAAATATAAAATAAAAATATATATTACGTACCGTAGCGTCCGGCGATGCGACGTCCGGCGACCAGGTGCGGCGAGGCGACGTCCGTTGAAGCTTCTGCGGCGACGCGACGCGACAGCTGAGGGCGGCTGGCGACGACGAAGTCAAAAGGGGCGACGACTAGCTGTTGCGGCAGCTGGCGACGACGACCTTGAAGTGGGCGACGACGGTGGTGACGAGAAGGAGGGGCTGGAGCAGTGGCAACGTTGGCGGTGTGGTGCGCTGAAGAAGAAGAGAAATTATTTTGTTCGAATAGACTTATATCTAGGGCTAAATTAAAAATACTAAGTCGGCTATAAAGGAGCCGACGTCATATACTTAATAATTTATTTATTTATTTTTTAAAATAAAGGTTATGGCGTCGGTATTCTATAAGGCCGACGTCATAACCTTAATAAAAATAAAAAAATAAAAATTGTATACTATACGACGTCGGCTAGTTAATTAACCGACGTCGGCTAGTTAATTAGCCGACGTCCTATAGTATATTTATTTTTATTTTTTTTATTTTAAATACATACAACGTCGGTTGTCTCAAAAACCCGATGTTGTATGTATTTTAAAAAAAAAATTATTTTAAATTTTTAACGTCGGTTTTTTAAAAAACCGACGTTAAATTGACGACGTTATAAGTGTTTTCTGTAGTAGTGTCAAACGAAATCATGAAAAGACTTACACCATATTTATGTCTTTAACCACTCTATAGACTTTAAAGGTGGTCAATATTGAGATAGACTTGACAGAGTCGAAAGTCTATAATGAGATAGACTTGACAAACATAAAAGTCTATAATGTAATAAGACTTGTCAGAATTAAAAGTCTATGTTGAGATAGACTTTGACAGGGTGAAGGTCTATATTGAGATAGACATAACAGACTTGAATACTAAGAGTATTCATAAGGAGTCAAAGAGTTTGACTTCGTAGAACCTGCATTTTAGAGTTGGTGTGTGCATTTTATCTAACCAGTGAGTTCAAGATTCATATCACTCACGGGAAGAAAATTACTCAGTGTCACTACGTGTCAGTTCAAGTTCTCAAACACCGACATTAAGATCAACTCGTTTGTATTGCTCAGACATTATTTCTTTATATCCTTCTTTAAGAATGTCTAGGGGATTGTTGGGAAATCATTCTATAAAGAAAGGATTGTCCACAATAATTCTTGGTCATGAATTGTTAGGGAGGTTGTTAATAAACTCCCACCTTTTTTTCTCATGATTGTGGTTATCCTCTATTTTAATATTTGTGGTTTCATAATAATTAGTTTAGTTGTGGCTAATATCTAGAGGTTAGTTGGAGCCAACTAGTCTAGTATATAAACCCCATTACATTTCAATGAAGACACACCAAAAAACCTTCTTCCTCTCCTTTGTCTGCTTCCCTAAGTCTGAGCAATAGTTAGGTTCGGCTATGTTTAAGCGGTGTGAGCTTAGCGTGGTTATTCTGTGTTGCCTGTTAAAAGCGTATCGATTTATCTCGACTGCACCGCCACTGGGCAAATAATGCTTTTAAGGCAGTGTTATATAACACGGCACAGATTCTCTTACAATCATACACCTGTATTTGTCCTTGTTTCCTAAAAGGTTGCCAACCTCCGCGTTAACGTTGCTTATATTTTCCATGGAAAATTAGTATGACAATTTTGCCATCACCCTACTTTATTAATTACTCTTATTATATTATTATATTATTATTGTTGTGTAGGGTTATATTTGTCATTATATTCATCATTATTCCTTACCATTCCAAATCCAACTAAACAATGGAATTCATATTTCCATTAATTTCTTTTCCATGCACCAACGAAACAATGAAATCTATTTTCTTGAAATTTATTTTCTATGAAATTTCAATTCTATTTTTCTTCAAATAATTTTCAGCGAACCAAATAAGCTGTATAAAAGACTTAATGCCGACTTTTTAGGAAATAATAAAATCATTTACTGTGGACATTAATGAAATCAATCAGTATTGTATGGACCATGGTCCACACAAGTTGTATGAACCATATTTTATCTACTGTAAAATAATGTATATTCAATACAAAAATATGTATATTCAGTACAAAAATAATGTACATTATATTCAGGGGATGTACATTATTTTTGTTCTGAGTGTACATTATATTGTATAATGTACATTCAATACAAAAATAATATGCATTTACTATATTAAAAATATACTTTTTATTATGGTTCACATAACATTGTGTGGACCATGGTCCACAGAATAATTTGCCTAATGAAATTAAGTGAATGCAGAAACGACTAAGGTAGCTAAGTTGCTTTGATCCACAAATTTGTATTATGTAATAAAATCGTATTAAAGATCCCAACTACCCAACACATTCCAAATACATAGGTCATGTCAAATCTTACATATAACCTTGGAGGTGGGAGATGGGAGTCCTGTGGGTCAGTGAACCACAACCCATTAGCATGCATGAAACATGGGATATTTATGGGTTTTAATTAGCACAACCACCTTAATCCTTCCCCTAACACTACTAATGTTGGGTTGTTCCTTAATCAAATCATCACATACATCAACACAGCCAGTGCATAAATGAAAATTATGACCCTAGCTAGAGCAATAATTGTTAAGTTAGAGCAAACGTACCTAGCTAATAACAATAAAATTGTACGTGTAAATAAAGAAAAAAATAAAGAGTTTTTGTGATAATTTTCTGACATCATGCATTATTTCGATCTCTCTCTATACGAGTGAACCTCGCAACCACTACTCGAAAGCATGCATTTAATAAATTTGACTCCCTTAATTGTAATAACTTGCAAATCACATAGGAGATGTAAATTGCACTAGAAAGATCTTGTGCACGAGTTCGAGAGAAAGAGTGTTGGCAAGAATCAAATTCATGACCATTCAAGTACAAGAGTCAAGTATTAAACTATTTCTCAAATAAGAAAATGTTATATTTAAATATTGTTGTTACATCACATTTTAGAGTTTATTCCAGATTTGGTCTCTTGATTATTATTAGTGATCAATCCTAATTTGTTCCACTTTTAAGTATATCCTTGATTTAAAAAAAAAAACGATTCACTTGTTTTCAAAAAAAAAAAAAAAAGAAGAGAAAGATGATTCACTTTTTATAAACTTAAATGGCCTCGGGGTACGGGTATTCCTATACTCTATGTAGTTGTACTAGATCTAGATGTGGATTGAATGGGATGTATGTAGTCGATCTTGATTAGTACAATGAATGGAATTTATCAACCTAATATAAACTACAATGGGAATTTGAGAAATTTTTATTTCAGTCAGGACAAGCATAAAAAAAAAAAAAAATTGAATTGATAAGACATTAAGAAAAGAAAAGAAAAAAAGGGTCATATTTATACTAATGACATAAGGAACATCATGATGGCAAAATGCTGACATAACATCTTTTGACTTGCCACTTCAGTCAATCATGTCATGTCCAGACTACTGGAGTGATGACTATTGAAGTGACATCGAAATTAACCTTTGCCAACATCAGCACCCGACCACTGTAGTTGGTTTGCCAACCAAACGTATTGGAAGATGATATATGCAATTATGCATGAATGAAGAAGACGATAGAAATAAATAAATAAAGAGGGGCAGTCAGGTCTTTTCCGTTTTTGGTTAGTTATAACCGTCGTTCCCCTTTGTATGTATAAAACCATCTTCTTTACTTGAATAAATCACTTTTCCTTTTCCTTTTCCTGTTCAGTTCATCTTCAAAATCTCTCTCTCTCTCTCTCTCTCTCTCTCTCTCTCTCTCTCTCTCTCTCTCTCGCGCTACATGTAAACATTTCGTCATGGTATTAGAGCCGCGACTTGGCTCTTACCTCGCCGCCGTCACCGGCGTCGGCAACACCAGTCAAGGAGGACAGACCTCTACACCAGCCACTGGATCACCAGTTCAAATTGTTAGTGTTTTTAAATGTTCAAAAACCCCATATTATAATTGACAATATTATTATGGCATACTAAGATAGGTTTAGAGTTTGTCCGTCCAGCTCTACAGATGACTGATCAATCAGAAGCAACAACAGAAGGACTGACACTGAAGATCTGATTTAGGAAGCTGATTTCTAAAAGACTGTACGCGGTTTTATCAGAAAAGTTTGGAAAGAAGATCAGCGTATATTTTCAAGAAAGGTATGGACCTAATCTTCTGAGATTACATTCCTCTTTTATAGTCCTACCTTCTACAATCAAAGTGATCTATGGAGAGTGTTTATTGAAGAATCTATAAGTACTCTTATTCGAAGAGAATTAGGGTTACGCCGAATGTAAGAAGAAACACTCCCTATCTGCTATATGAGACTAGATCTTTGATTGTCATGCATCTTCTCAATATAATATGTTCATGGTGATTAAGATGATGAACTTGAGAAGAATCACTGCTGCTTAAACGAAAGGACACTGTGATCACACTGTTGTGGGAACAACTGTAAAGAGTGTCATTGAAGTGGATTGCATCAGAGTGGGCTCTCCAAGTGAAGGGATTTCATTGGACTTCTGTATGCATGGCTCTCCATCTTCAACAATCCACTAAAGCTGTGTAGACTGGGTATGTACCTTGTGTGGGGCACTTGGGTAAGATTATTGTATATCTACCTTTGTACATTGGATTATGATTTAGTGGATTGGACGCCTATGTGATCGTCCCCCAGACGTAGATACACACTGTATCGAACTGGGTAAATATTCTGTGT